GAAGAAGAAGAAGAAGAAGAAGAAGAAGAAGATGTGAAAAAACGAAAAAGAAAAGGTCGTGCGTGCTGACGTGGCAGCCGCGCGACGAAGATGGAACTTCACGAGGAGGAGGAGATGGAGGTGTAGGAGGTAGAGGAGGAGGAGGAGGAGGAGGAGGAGAAAAAGAAAAGAAAAGAAGAAGAAGAAGAAGAAAAAAAAAATATGACGACGACGAAGAAGAAGAAGAAGAAGAAGAAGAAGAAGAAGAAGAAGAAGAAGAAGATTAACAAAACAAACGAAAAAAAAAAGGTCGCGAGTATTGACGTGGCAGCCTCGCGATGACGATCAGACTTGACGAGGACGAGGAGATGGAGGAGGTGGAGGAGGGACGAGGAGGAGGAGGAGGAGGAGGAGGAGGAGGAGGAGGAGAAGGAGGAGGCTTACCTGACAGCCATGGGTGACCAACGTGGCAGCAGCTGAAGCACGGGGCCATGCGAGGGCAGTTTCGAATGATTCGAATTCGAAACAAACCCTTCCACCCCCCGGCTACTCTACCGGGACCCGATTTCTGCGCCCGCCCCCACCCACCCCCCCACGGACGACCACAAACCCGATACCCGCGCCTCCCGGCGACCGGTACCTGCCTGGGCGAAACCTGTTCGCGGGCTTCCAAAACACGTTGAACTTCTCGCGAACGTGTTCTCGGCCCGTTCCCGCAAACGGGAGAACGTGTTCGCCCGAACGGGAAGGGACGCAAACACGTTCGCCGTGCGGCGTGCTACGCAGGTTGAGAAGTTCCTCACGAACTTCCTATAATAGTTAGCTAGGCCCAGGAACGACCGCAACTCAGTCAATGTGCGGGGCGTCGGCCAATCTCTAAGTTGTCCTCAGGCTTAATGCCATCTCCGTCCAATACGTGGCCCAAGTACAAGACTTGTGTCTTGGCCCACTCACATTTCTTCGTGTTGATCTTGAAGTTAGTCTCTCTCAGCTTCTCCAAGACCTGCCTCAAATGACCCTGGTGCTCTTGGAGGGTCCTACTGAACACCAAGGTGTCGTCTAAATACACTACGACAAATCTATCTAACCACGACCTAAACAAATGATTCATACAACGCTGGAATGTAGCAGGCGTGTTGGTTAGTCCAAAGGGCATCACTATGAACTCGCAGTGCCCATACCTAGTCCGGAACGTAGTCTTGTACTGGTCATCAGGATGGACATATATCTGATGATACCCGGAATTCAAATCGATTTTCGAAAAATATTCGCAACCCTGCACCCGATCTAAGAGATCGTTTATCCTGGGCAGTGGCTTAACGTTCTTTACCGTGATCGCATTTAGACCCCTATAGTTTATGCACATACACAATTCTCCTTCCTTTTTGGGGACGAACAAAACTGGTGCTCCAAGAGTAGACGAACTGGGCCTAATCCAACCTTTCTCAAGGAGCCCATCCAACTGCTTGCGCAACTCCTCTAACTCCCTAGGGGACATCCTGTAAACTGCTCCATTAAGAGTCCTACTGCCAACCTGTGCCAGGTTCTATTTCTATCTTATGCTGGATCGGCCGTGGCACTACTCCTGTTGGCGGCTCTGCCAAATCCTTAAACTCTTTCAGCAACTTGGCAATGGTTGAATCCGTGGGACTATCTTCTTCCTTAGGCTAAGTGACAGGTCTGACATATACTACGAAGACTTGATCCTCTAACTGCTCCTTCCTCACGAGTCGCGCTGTCGAGCGCTTCGGTCCCGCACGGGACCCTCTTGGCCCCGTCACGCAGGATTATGCAGGACTTGTCGCGGAGAGCGTTTGCCGGTCCGGCCGAGTGCGTCAGCCGTACCTCTCGCGAGTCCCTACGATAGGACAGAGTCACGCGAGGCACCACTACCTCCACCTGCGGGAGCTCTCACCATCCCTTAGGTGGGCGTATCCCTGCCGAGCTACTGAACCACATGCGAAAGTTTTTCATATGCAATTGCAGAGGTGGCCCAGCCGAGGGCGTTTCTCGTTCGCTGTAGCATAGGGGGTACGCGTGGTCGAACGCCCGAAATCGAACCCGTGCGTGAGTCGTCGTACTGGGGGGCTGAAGTCCCAGGCACGATTCGGAGCCGGTGGACTAGGATGCACTACACACCCACGCGTTACACTACAACACCCATGCTTACCCATGCATAACATACAGACACACACACAACAATCTCCACAAATAACACCACAACACAACAACACTCCTAGTCCCTTCAGTTTCCGACCCATAGCTCTACGCAGTGGAAGTCGGTAACTGCCTTGCGCGAGG